AGGTTCATCTCCTGAGGGTAATTAGCATGATAATCAATTTTCGTGGATATTAATAATCAGTATTTCTATTAACAATAAGTTATATTGTAAGTTGTAAGAAATGAAAATAATAAGTTATTCTTTCATGAGTTCATTCAAATTCAGTAACATGAGATATTTAACCTGACTATTGAGTATCTGAGAGGTTGACAATGATGATGAGCTAATACCTAGATGGGAAGGAGATAATCAATGATTACTCGGAAGTGGATAAGAGGTTAAAGGTTAATAATGAATTCGAATCATGTTTCAGAATAGAAAATGTGATCAATAGTAATGTTGAAATAAATAGTTAACAATTTTTTTCCCTTCTTAATGGTGAAAATGTTGAGTTTGGATATGATGAACTTCATCATTTGAAAACTTATGATGATTCATCATAAATATTGGGATAAAGCTCAATATAAAAGTTACAATGAAACTTTTTCTAAACTAAGTTTCAAACTGGTTGACATAATTTACGAGACCTTGAAACGATATTATAACTACCCTCATGTTCATGAGATATAAATTCTGAAACCTACTGAGAAGATGAAACCTGAATGAAAACAGAAATGAATCAGTTACAAGATGGAAAATCAATGATTCTCTCTCTCTTCTTTCATTTTCTCAGTCAATTCTTTATCTTTTCCATTCTTCATCATCATGGTAGATATAAATATCTCCTTAATGATGACTCCTTATCATTTTCCTCTCCAAAACCAGAACCATCATCATTTTAACCATGATAACGGAACTCAGAATAATACATAAATAATATTTACCTTTAACTCTCAATATTCCAATATAATGAAACCTCATTTGACCTTGAATTATCATGATGAACTTTTTCATGACAACTTTTAGATGATCCGATTGTGAATCAAATTTAAAATCAAATTCGTAAATCAAACTAAACAAAAAGTTCTGAAGAGTAAAAATCAAATACTTTTCCTGAGATAATATTGTATTTTTATCTTACTGAATTTTCACTTGAAATCTCTGTTTACATACAATCCAATTGTCTATCAAATGATGATGACGAGGAAGAAAAAGATTTCATTGTCTTAGAAATTTGTTTATCTTCATCTTTTTTTTTGTTATCATCATCATGGTTCCGATGTTTACTTTTTCCATCATGTTCAACAGGGAATGATCAAAAATGCTTATTGAAATTGATTCATTTGAAATGAAACAACAACGATAACGGTGAACTTATTGTTGTTTTACATTCAAATCACGGATTGAATTTTTTTTTTATTATTTCTAAATTGTTATAATGTTTTCTGATTATATTTCGTTTGATTTTAAGTCAATGCTTTTCTCCTTGTTCTCATTCTGGTTCATTTTTCATGATTCAAAATCAACATGGTACATGATGGAAACAAAAGGAAAACAAATAGTTAACATGATGAAATTTAAAATTCTGATCATCATGTTGATCTTTTCAGTTTCCATCTTTATCTAAACTCGTTTCTTTCTCAAATGAATTCAAAATTTCATTCCTCTGATATTTTCTAGGTGAATAGTTAATCATTTCCATTTCTGACAATTCCTGACTCAATATATTTCTATGATCAGTTGATTCAATTTTGATCTTTCATTTTTAAATCTTTAATTGTCACTCGGTTTTCCCATTAATTGTTAACTCATACATATTACTTCATGCTGTGGTTATTTGACTGTCATGTTTACATTTTTCATGTGGGAGTGAAATTCAAGATATTTTCCAATTATCATGAGAATGAGATAATCAACAATTACATGTGACTCTCAATTAAATGAATGAACTTTGAGATTGAAGATGAAGTTGATAAGTTTATCAGAGATTGATATTTAATTGGACTAATGGACTTATAATACCAAGTGTAACTGAAGGATTGTTGTTCATGGCGATCAAGAAAATCTCAGTGTGACAGATTATCATCAAGTGAATGTGAGTTTCTCATTGAAACTTAACTCTTATTCTGATTCAATTATCATGATGGTGATAAAAGTTCCAGAGCTACTCAAAGGTTGAATATTTTTCTTTCCCAATTACTGCAACTTATATTTATCCCTTTGAATCATTTCAACAATTTTGAATTCCATGAGAAAATAGGAATTTTATCCCTTGATCATACAATCTTCATGATGATAGTTACCTGTGAGAATTAATTTTGTCTCATCTGCATGATATGTACCAAAGGAGGTATAATAGAAATTTCAAAAGTTCTGACAAAAAAGTCTGAGAAGAATCTGTTGAAATGTTCCATTGGTTAAACGCCTAAGGCCATTTTTCAGATCTTTTTTCTGCTTCCTCATCATTCACAAGGAGATTTGAGTTTATTTTTCCAATTGATTGAAGATAAAATTCTGAACCAGTTATCAAAACATAATTAGCTTCAATTCACCAACCGGATCAAGGGACTTATCAGAATACACCAAAGATCGTAATTCAATCGGAATAAACAAATTACTCTGAATACTTGCTGAGTTCAAAATCAGAATACTTTTCAACTATGAAAGTTTGTACATCTTTTTGATTCCATGAAGTAATCTGAATACCATGATGCAAGAAAAGATCTGTGATTAAGAAGTTGCTTGTAATGGTGATCTTATTTAGCCATGAATACTCATGAAATCTAAAGATTCTAAGCATCATGATAATCATAATATAGAACTTGTAGCCATTAGTTAAATAATGGTAGGAAATTATTTCTACTCTGCTAAATTTATTATCTATTCTTGAATCTGTGTATTTACCTGAACTTTTTATCCTTAGCTAATAACCTTCAATGTCACGGTGATAATAATCATACATCATGTATTGTGAAACCTTTATTATCTCAGAATCAGAATAGTTGATTTCCTTTTTTTTTCTTGAAAATTCAATCGCTTTTGAAATTGTTCACACTTTTGATGAAATATACTCACACTGAATATAATCAGTGCGATGAATATGATGATAATATTAATCAAAGAACATGAGTATCATCATGATAATGATACAATTTTACTTATTGATTTGCAAATTTTTCTTATCAATCCAAATTGAACTTTCTTTTCATGGAAAGAAAAAGTAATTCATATATTACGTCCCTTTTGGTTCCTGAATGAAATTCATGATAAATTCATCATCATTCATATTCTGATATCATTATGAAAATTACCAAATTATCAATTTCTTGACTTTTTCTTGGTATCTTTTGATTACAATTTCAATCTCATTGAACTTTTTTCCCTGAACAATTTTGTTATTTGTTTCACCATTGAAACCAGGAAATTATCATTTTCATAATAGACTCATACCAGAACTTTTTCTCCTCGAGTTCACTAGTGAGAGATATCATTTTTCTGCTGGAAAATAAACTTTGATAGGCATTAGAACTTTTAAAATACCAGAGAATTCAATTTACTTAAAAAAAGGTTAGTTCTTGATGAATAATATAAATTCAGAACTTTTCTATGATTATCTCTCTCTCTCTCTTGGTGATAAAGTTCAGTAGCCGATGAAATTGTTATAAACCTTTTTTCCTGAAGGGGGAAATATTTTCTAGAGGCCAGTTAATTTCATGATGGAATCAGGTGAATCTGCAGAAGAGAATGAGATGAAAAAAAATTCTTTGAAATATTATTACCATACACTCAGAATTTAGGTTCAGATTACATGGCGAGGGAAAAGTTTAGTTGAATTTCTATCAGGAATGGAATCAGATTCCAGATTATCAGAATATGATGAAGCTTGAGATGAGTTTGAAAATTTGGAAAGAAGATAAAAAAAGTTGAAAAAATTTTCTCATCAATTTTTCATCATCGTCATGAAGACTGAATGAATGTTGATAAAGTATATTCGAGCTCATAATCAAGTAACTGACCAACGGTCAACCTACTCAAACTTTCATCTCTTTCATAACTTTCAATATATTAACTCAATCCCTTCACTCATTTTCATCTTCATCATGGTGATGGTACATAGATCTTTTTTCGTTCCTCATTCTTTTCCCATGAAGCTCCTGAGAATTCTGATTCAATATTACTAAGATATTCTGATTCCATTAAAATGTCGACATAAATTTAGTTCCAACTCATCATCAAGTGCTGATTCATCAGGAAAAAAAACATGATGAGGGGATAAAAACTATCACGAGATGAGTAACAGAAAATTACTCAACTTTTATTCATCAGAACTTTTTTTTTGCATCTCACTTATAATATACATCATCATGTTGCTTTAATCATGAAATGAATCTAACTGATCCTTTTGCCTGTCATCAAGATTTCACTTTCAATCTCAATCTCCCCTCTTCTTGTGCTCACTTTTTATGATGATCATCACCATGAAGACGATAACGATACTTATAACAATGGCTCGATCCCTTTTTCATCATTTCAATATTATGGTTATATTAGCATTCTGGGTTAATCAGGAATATACATCAACCATAATTTCATGTAAACAAGAAATGGTATTATCTTAATTAAGATGATCATCATCTTCATGATGGAAACCTTTCAAATCTGCTATTCCAAGCAACTATTCATAGTCATCATGAAATTGATTGGACGAGATTGGCAGAGAATTGAGTTCTCTCTCTCTCTCTCTCTCTCTCTCTCTCTCTGCATTTTATATTCCTGTGGTCACTTGTATCATATAATTTGATATGTTTAAACGCCTTATCCTTCAGTTGACCAATTATCCTTATATTTTCCAGTTAATCAGCATCAAGTTTTAATATCTTGAGAAAGGGTTATCAATTAGAATCCCTTTTGACTATTGTAAATTAATTGCTTGATTGTAATTGGAGTATAAGTCCATTAACTTTTGATTAATCACTAATTGTTTAATGGTAGGATGATAAAAAGAGTTTGGTGAAAAAAAATTAGTAAACTGACCAGGAACAATTAATAGATTGATATGAAATTTGATATTTAATTGAATAGCAATCAAAGCATTGGCTAGCAGTTAATTAATCGATTTCTTTTTCTAATTAATTATCTAGGCGATTTCAAATCATCCACCAACAAACCATTTCAATGATTCAATTAATAACAACAATAATAATAGTAAAAAACAAGGAGGAAATGGTGGTGGTCATCATCAACACCATCATCATCATCATCATCAACACAACAATCAACATCCTCAACAGCAAATTGTACATGGACAAAATCAAAGACAATCATCACTACCAGAATCACCATTTAAATTGTCCACACCCAATTCAGGGATAAACATAATGTCCACTCCACTTGGACTCATCTCTACAACCGGTGAAGGATTAGGAATGGGAGGAGGAGGAAGAACCGGAAGTCCATCCATTAAAGCTGATGTTAATACTGGTTATCATCCTGTTGATTATATTGCCTCTCATACTGGACTTATGTCACTTAACAGTGATTTAACAGCTGATCTACTGGAAAGTCAAACAGGCGATGGAGGTGGTGGTGATGTGATCAATTTAAATGACCATTTGATTAACAATTCAACAGGATATATAAGCTCAGATATGGGCAGTGGAGGAGGTGGAGGGTTGGGTATGGGCCATGTTTCCATGTGTAACTCAATATATTATTCAGATAAATGTCCAACCCTTCCCAGGCTAATATCATCTTCATCTACATCATCTTCACCTTCAGCAATGACCACAACCACGACTTCATCATCGGTAACGAAAAATTTAAACTCTGGACCACATCCAATGTATCGGACAATCAGTCAAAGTAAATTTGTTCAATTTGATGAGCCTCGGGAATTTCATGAGATGAATATTTGACAGTTCAGGACAACTCCTGTTTAAAATTTTTCCAATCGACAGTACGATACAATTACAATCCAATATAATTAAGATTCAATCATTCATCATGAACTAAAAAGTTACCATACTCATCTTGTATTAAATTCATTCATGATTAACTATCTGTCCATATATCAGCTTCCATCATTATTTTTATCTCTCATTATGTATCTAACACTCAATAACTTTTCCACTTTAACTCATACTCTCTCCCTCTTAATTGTATCATTTTCCGTGCCTTAGTTATAATCAAAATCTTAAACAATTAAAATAATCATTTAACACTGTTAACTTTTAATTGACGTTCTTTGCATCTTAACCATGATCATCTCACCATAAAATCTATAATAATATAAAATATCTCTAAGAAATTTAGCTAAATTTTGTCTTCTCTCTCTCTCTCTGCTAAATCATAATTTCAAAACCATTTCCATGCTTCTTGTAAAGATCTTTTTGTATATTAATTACTCTGAATTATTTTTAATCTTGAAAATTGTAACAATAAAATCTAATTGAACTCATAGACAGTTGAATCTTTTAATCCTAATCAAATGTCACCATTAGTTATGTAACATTATCGCTATCACTTTTTCATAAAGCTCTTTCGAAACTTTTCAAAAAGTAAAAAGTTCGTAGAACTTAAGTTCGAAAGCTCTAAATGGTTCGAGTAGCTTCAATAGTTCCATCTATTGATAGAAATCTAATTAATGTAATACTTTACTTCAATTCCACTCCAATAGATGGAGAAAGTTTCTTATTCCATTTCGAATCTGTTTTATGTTAGAACTTTTTTATTTTCTGGTTTCATTTTGATATTCTTTTCTCGAAAACCAACTAATTATATTCGTAGATATAGCTGATCTTGATGAGACTATTATTAATTACTTGTTCTTGTGGTCAATGTAGTAATCATAATGATACAATGTAACTAAACTTCCTGGTTAAGGTGTTGGCTTTAATAAACTTAATGGACATTAATCTAGTTTATGATGCTAACTAAACTCTATGATGATTAAGGTAATTTTTAATAATCATTATTATCATCAAGTGTGAATAACATTAATCAAAAGGACAATGGGAGTGGAAAAAACTTGATAACTTTGTAAATAACAAAGAAAAAGTTTATCATCAGTTTGGGTGAAAATAGATTTGTTTTTATTCGTATTTGGTACAGTTTGAGTTTGAATTGATCGACAGTTCGTAATTTATATGAGCTGTTGATAATTTACAGGTAATGTTCACGAGAAGGAGCTGAAGCGGAAATGGACGATGATACTTGACCATTACTTTGTCCGATGGAAGGACAATAATGGGATTGACGACGAATGTAGGAGTTTGTTGATTCTGTTGATGAGAGAAAAACTGATTTGATAGCATATTTGACTTCTTTCATTCGGTAAGAATAGATAAAAGGATCAACAATGGCCTTAATAATGACTAGGGAATTGGTTATGAAGCCAAGAACCATTCTGACGGTTGTTGGCTGTGAGAGAAGAGGATAAGGACAACCATCAGTACAAGAAAGTGCCAACCAGATAATGTTGGGCATCCAGCAGATTAAATAAGTTCCAACGATAATTAGAGATGTAATCGTTGTCCGACGATACTGGTGACGATTATCAGTCGACCCTCTACTTGAGATACAACCACCTCCGACACCTCCGCCGCCACCACTGGAAGAGATGGTGGTTGTTATCGCGCTAGAAGTTGTACCTGTTGTAGTGCTAATTGAGGCTCCATCAAAACGTCTGAGTGATCGATGTATATTGGAGGTGAAGAATAGTGAATGAAATATTCGACAATAGGCAAAGAACATTAGGAAAAGTGGAGTCGAAAAGCAGATTAATATGGTAAATCGAAATTTCCAAAAATAGAGAAACCAATGAGGACAATTTCGAGCTCGAAAACCTATTGCCAAAAGAAAAATAGAAAAGATATTAATCGAATAATATTCGAGCAGTTTAGTTTCATTCTCACTTCCTAATGATTGGTCATTAGATTTTCATGGTGTAAATTGTTGAAATTTTTTTTTATTAGAAGAGAATCTCCATTAGAAGAGAATAAAGAAGAAAAAATGAACAAATTCTGTTATTTTTCTTTTGCAATTTTCTTTTTTTTCATATCTCATTTAAAAACTTGTGGAGAAAAAACAAAATTACATGAATATTACATGAGAAAGGAGGAAAACTCACCTTGACATGGAATCGACCAGAAATAGCCGGTGAAAAAAGTCAATGAGATTATCCAACAAGAAGCAGATAAACCATGAACTGCTTTCCGATTTTGAAATACACTTTGAAGTCTGTAAGGGTGAGAGAGTGGAAGATTGTTAGAGAAACAGAAAAATTGAAACTCCATGAAATTGCTGGAAAAATTTTCTTCTTCTTCATTGTTATCGAGATGAAATTGAACTTGGAACTTCAAAAATTATGGGATTCAATTGTCATTTATTGCGAATTTGCATTAAAAGGTTGACCTTCTGCCTATTTAAATTGCAATTTTGTTTTCGTTTTTGACAATTTTTCTTTCAAGCGATTAAATTAAACCTCGAATCATGAACAGAATCGATAATTTAATGAGAGTGAAAAATTATCCCTTATAAGTTTTAGGATAAAATTCCGATTCCATTGTAAATCTTTTTCATGGTGAGTATTTATCGACTGATCAGACTGATCAATCTATTGATAAAAGTTCAATATGTTCACTTTATGTACATAATCACTTTGAATTCTCACAAGTCCAAGCTGATGTAAGCTAAATGATAGACAAGGGGAAATGTTTCTAGGAAAATGTCCATGACGATAATTCATGTAAATTTCATGGTTTAAATCAATATAATGACTGGAAAGGATTATCATGGAATGAAATTAACTTGAATCATCAATTTCTATATGAAAAGGGTTCAAGTTTATTATTAGATTAATGTAAAATTGGCTAAACCTTATTGTCAGACTAATCTGATCATTTCATCCAGTCCGTTAGTCTTTCATAGTCTGACCTTCATGTCCTTTTGTTCGTGATAAAAGCACCATGATAAATTCATGTTCAATTGCATGAGAATTCAAATTGAACAATGTTACAATGAATTCTCAAGGAAAGTGAGAATAAAAAACATTGTATCATTTTGATTCATTGATAATCTTTTTTATCATCGATTTGACTCAATTTTCCAAGTTGAATGCCAATGAATTTACTGAACACACACTGAGTTCAGTCACCATGAACAAGGAAAATCATATTTAAATTTTATTCTTCCTTGATTAACAAATTGTAATATTCTGAATTAGATTCAGTTTTATTTACTCTTATTCCATATAACTCATATTTGGAAAATATGAACTTCAATCAAGATCTAAATTCTTGTTTTTTTAGGCTCAATGAATTCATAATTTTCTATTACATTAAACTAATTATCAGTAAGATTATTTCATCATTTGTAAATTGGCAAAGATTTCAAACTAAATGACGGAAGTTGATGGAGAACGGAAATTAAATTTCTACAAATGAATGACTTGAATCAGAACAAAAATAATAACTCTCAGAACTCACAATTCTGAATATTTAATTTTCGTGCAATCTGATTACTCATTTGTTGGATCAATATCAGTATAGACACTTAGAATCTACAACAATCAGTTGACCAAATGGACGTTTACTTAAATATAATCCGGAAATTGATACTGATTTTGTTGATATTATTATATTTACATGATTAAACTGTCAAATTATTACTCATGTTAATTGTTAATTGATTAAGACGGTGAATACTTTGACTCTGAGTAAGATTGATAACATTATTAATCCAATATGTTAGTTTTATAGATGACATCAAATCCAATCAATTGTTGAGTTTATTTCATTAGGTGGGATGATGAAATTGTCCATGGTGATGATTATGATGATAATAGTGATTATTGAATTGTGATGATAATGAAAAAATGATTAAATTCAGTGGGTATTCAGTGTCATCCTCTTCATGATGAACAATCAAAATAAAGGAAACGACTCATCAACTCTTGAACAATTTCCATAAAATTATTCAGAAAAGGAGATTAAGGTTTCTAATGACATGGATTGGAAAATTATCATGATAGTGAATAGAACAATTTTCCAATCAAATTTCATCTCGCTGATATTTAGTTACATTATCTTTTTTTTTCTTTGGCTTTTTATGAATTTTTCTTTCATTATCGGTAATCTGAGTTGAGAACTTTTTTTTTAAAATAGTCATGAAACAAATTCGATTACTGTAGCTAAATATTATCTTCTTCCTTTTTAATCATAGTAATTTAACCAACCATCAAGTGAAAAAAGTTCTAACTTAAAGTGAATCATTGAACCAGAGATGATTAGGAAAGAGAGGAACTTTTTTCCATTTTCATGAGGGATCATCATTATTATCGAAACCATGAATACACCGAATGATGAAATCATGTCTTTGTATAATATGATGATGCTGGGATCATGCTAAGGTTGGCAAAGGTGAATGTTGAACTGATCATGATGATGGCTTGATAATATGTCAGAATGTGAATCGAGTACGAATAAAAAATGATTGACTCCAATTTCATTATGTTTTTCATCCTGAAATTTATGATAATTTATTGGATCAATTGCTTTTTCATGAAATCTCCCATGTTAGGGTCAGAGATAATCTATCAATAGATAATCATTTGAATCAAATCTATTGACAGTTAAATGATAAATCTCAGATATAAAAAATTCCCATTGGTATTATTTGATTATCTATCATTCACAACTATTCAGGGTTTTTCAATCTCTATCCTATTCACGTGGATGAATGTGATTCAAGTTCATTATTCAGATTATAATTATCATGATAATCATTGTTATTATTATTATCACTTAGTATTACGCTGAGATAGTCACAAAGGTGATTTATCGTTCAGTTTATTGAATTTATTTGAACACGGAGAAGATAAAAAAGGAAAACTCTCGATTCTGAAAATAATAGAACTGAATTATCGTTGCCTGAGAATAACAATGAATCATGATAATTAGATTGTAATTATATCATCAAAAATTTTTTATCTCTCAAAAGGCAACACAAGGTAAAAGTTATTAAAGCAAATTCAGTTTCATGATTAATTTCATGATGAAAATGTCATGTAATCACAATCAGAAAATCAGAGTGAATTTCATGACCTAGAAAAATTATTATTCAAGATAATTTTTTTAATATTAGTACATATCAAGTTATGAATATGATTACGGTGATAAATCATAAAGATAATATTAATTTACGGTTACAATTGATTTTAGTTGTGTACAATTAACAGTTGGATAAAAGTTTTTCCTCAATTAAATTTCATCTGATGATGTTTTTTGTTTAATATATTGCTGGTAACAATTGAGTTAATTCAATTATCATAATCAAAACTAATCATTGAATCAATCATTCAATTGTTTTATCATTCGTTACATTTAATTGTTATTGACAAACATTAATCACTATTGTGAAACTAATTTAATCAACTTGGATTTTCAATTTGGGCTTATATTTGTTTACCTTTTTTCTTGTGGTCAAATCTTAACCTAATTTTTATGGTAACATGATAAATCATATAAAATGACCGATATTATCATCAGCATCGTTATTATTATCATGATATTATTGATAATCTTGGTTATTGAATCTTCATTGGGTTTAACTAATCATAATAATTGTACTAAACTGTAGCTTAAACAAAATCAATCACTGACACTCTCAACTCATGATGATCATGTTGATGGTGATCATCATAATCATGATCGTAGTGATAAATCATGAATCAGTTGATCAAATAGATATATCCTTTTCCATGAAAGGAGAAAAAATCAATCGATTTATCAAGAGTAACAGGGATAAGAAAAGCTCTGAATCATTATTAAGGGTGAAAGGTGTTACCATGAAGGAAACAAAAATTATCTTTAACAACGTAACAATTATCTGGAGAAAAATGATCTTAAAACTATTGAAAAATTTTGAAACTTAGTCTCCTTGCAATCAAAAGTCTATCAATATAACTCACACCATGAAGAGTATTTGAATTCACGATGAGCCCACAATCAGAATATGTTTGAAAATAGTTTCAGAGTTTTATTAATCTTCTCGTGAAATAAAGCTAATTTATTAATTTTTCCGATGAGTTACACGTTGCATTTTTTTGCATCACATCCTAAAGGAGGATAGCCAAAATGTGGGATTTCTCGCTGAACTTTTCCGAATTTTTCGAAATAGGTATCAATCGAAAGCTCTCGGTGAGCTGAGTCGAAAAAACTGATCAGAATAAAAAAAATTATCTTTCCCTTTGCCTCCAAGTAAAATGAAACATGTAGCATGACAATGTAACATGCGCTCCTTGTAATCTTTGGAGATGAGATAACGCGAGAGAGAAAAAATGATTGCGATAATCAACCTAAAGAGAAAAATTGATTGCACATTCATGCAAATGGTTAGCGTTTTTTCGGGTAACATGAATCAAGATTTTGTATCTTTATTTGCTCATGAAGCGTTTAACTTTTTAAACGATGCGCGTTAATTTGCGGTTACCAAGAAACAAGTAGAATAAAAAAGCTTCCGTTAAAATAAAAGCTTTTGAATATTATTCATCTTCATGATTAAGATTATTATTAATCAGTATTGTTTCTTTGACTTGTTCATTTATCTTGAATACTTGACTCGTGCTTACAAACTGATAATTTGTAACCTGTTACAAGAATTTTTATTCAAAGAATTTAATTGTTCTCGTATTTTAGTTAAGTGAACAAGTGAGTTGCTGAAATTTTTCCGAAAAGCGTTGGTATCTATTGGTAAGTAGATCTTAATCATGCTATCATGAATCTTGTTCTAAATGTCATTTAACTCCTTTTCTTTTTCATTTTTTTGTAGATTCATCATGTCCCAAGTATCAATCATTGAGTTACCACGACAATGTGATTGTGGCCATGTTTTACCCGATAACCAGCAAGTGTTCATTCATAGGTGCCTTCTCACTTGTTGTCATGATTGTCGTGTTAAGGATACATGTTTTTCATGTGAAATAAAATTGATTTCAGAAGATTTTGTGATCATCAAGAATCATGAATCACAAACATGTCAACATGATGGATGTTCACATGAAGCTAAATATCAATGTTCCTGTTTGAATTTAAACTTGTGCCTGGAACATGTTCTCAGTCTTCATGAAAGCTTACCAACTAGTAAGAGATGTGCACCAAGTATCATTGATACATTAAAACGTGAAATCGTGTGTAAAAAATGTGATTTGTTCATTGCTAAGGCTAAAGATACATCCACCG